TTTTTAGAAAGACGAACAATTTTTTTTTACTTTTTTAATAATTACGGTGTGTAATTTTATTTTAATTTTAATAATTAATAATAATAATAATAATAATAATAATAATAATAATAATAATAATAATAATAATAATAATAATAATAATAATAATAATTATAATTATAATAATAATAATAATAATAATAATAATAATAATAATAATAATAATAATAATTATAATAATAATAATATAAATATAATAGTATATTTGGGAATAAAAATTTTTATTCCAAGTTTGAATTGATAAGTTTGCAAAGTGACAAAACATCACGCCTCTGAGGTCACTGACCCTAAAATATTAGGGGTCTTGCTTGCTCCATTATACATGTAGCTTGGAATAAATAAACAAATATATCCCTGATGCTACGAAATTTTTTGTTAATGTTATCTTGATTTCAATAAGCCATTACTTCATACTCCAGGTCTGTCTGCTCGAACAAGCACAATTAAGGACATGTTTGCGTCTTGAACAGATCCGGTTCGTACGAAACTCATCCATCTACTTCTATTATTCTGCAATACTAATACGTTTAGCTCTTTATGAAGCCCATTCACAGATGCAGGAGAAATTTCTCGGATATTGATGAAAAACCCGCATTTCCAAAAGCAACCAACGTTCTTTTATTCCCTTTCGTTATTCATTTACAGGCATCATTCATTGCCTTTGGCTTCCTGCAGTACACATCAAAACAAAGACCACGATACCATGATTTTCCATAGAAATCAAGCAGGTAAAGGAGATGATTGAGTTCATCAAAAAGATGATTTTGATATGTATATATTATGGAGGCAGTATGTGATGACGGGTGTGATTTCACTGTAATTCAAATATAAATATAAACATTATTATTATTGCGAACACAAATCTATACTCTTAATCCATAGGTGATCGCTCTTATGCTTCAACCAAGCTTCTCTTTTTCTGTGCCCGAATAAATCCAGCAAGTTCCCGACATTCTTTATTCGAACGTTCCATTGTTGACAACAACAACAACATGCGGATCATTTCTTCCAGAACCCAAACTCCACACTGAACCATCTGCTGTCAATATTCGATTACTTTCAACAGCCACTCCATCTGTCTTTAAATTTACAATGCGGCTTAATAAATCTCTGCAAATTGAATGTTTCATTACACCATAAATCTTTATTATCTGACTTTGGTCCCGGAGAGCTTCAAAAGATCTAATAGCCTATTGGTGTCGCGATGAATAAATTAACATTTATACCCAGGTTCAACAACAGACACCATTATTTTTTCCGAGAAAAAGTAAATATATTTCAATCGTACTTCCTTTTCAAGCTCCCCTTTTTCTGGAAACACATCAAGTTTTTCTTTGGGATTTTTGACACCGACGGCATAGTTTCAATTCTGTTTTAAATGAGAATCAGATATGAGCAGTATAACTGTCTGGAATTAAAAATGGTTGGCGGTTGAGGATTAGGGCCGGAAATAGAGATTACCTGAAGTTTTTAACTTTTGGAGAAAAAATGTTGCCGGATTATGAAATAGGCTGATTACTTGACTCAATCAGGTGACTTTTTGACGAGTCATATAAATGCAACAAAACCATCTGGAAGCATGTGACACAGCTTCACCACTTATGCTTTATCATAATAATTGGAAATAAATAAAATAAAGTTTACAAATGCCGATCCATAATGTCATCCAAACATGAGTGTGACACAGCTTCACCACTTATGCTTTATCATAATAATTGGAAATAAATAAAATAAAGTTTACAAATGCCGATCCATAATGTCATCCAAACATGAGAATATATGAGTCTTGATGAAAACATCAATGTCTCTTTTTGTATTCTTCCTTTTTGGAATCTCTTTCCCTCACAACTGACAAAAAGAATACATACAAAATTAAATGATAATGATTTATCAAACATATTGGTCTTGTGTATAAAAACTTACGCAAATCTTAATAAATCTAGAATATATTGCACATCTTCATCAAGATGGTCAATTTCGCCTATATTATTATTTTTTTCATTATTAACAAAATTATCATCATCAAATAATTCAAATGTGGCAGGGTTGGAAAATTGATTGGTCCATTGAGAATGGATGGATTTTGGGCTGGTCCATTGCCATTAATAAAATACTAAATATGGTTATGGTGTCACACTAATGGACCCAATGGACTACTAATAGACCATCAATGGACTGCACATTTGCCAACCCTGTAATGTGGGTTCTTTGTTGGTGGATTCCATTGCAAGTTTTTTTAATTCTTTAATAGCCCCAAGTGTTCCCTCAGGGAGAACTTTTTCATCAACAAGTTTTAACTGGTTAATACTTAACTATGAGGTATATTAATATAGATAAATATAAGAATGTTTGAAGAACTTGGTGTAGACTTCAAGTTTAATTGAGGATAATGGATCATTAATTTGTGTAAATAATATTAATATAGGTATTTTGTTTTGTGTAATTGTAATAATGACATTGTTATTAATATATAATTACAAGAAGATGTCAAGGCAATACACAGTTGAAAAAGAAACAATTCAAATATGCAATGTTTGATTATCAGAAAATTTTATAGATGTTGAAGCATGCATGCTACCTTGAACACATACAGTCATTCTCACCTTCCTTGTGTACATAAGGCTAGTGATGGGAATTTTTAACCCTACACTTAATAACTCCAAGTTATTAATAGTTAATAACCACTTATTAACTGTTGCA